AATCTATTTCTTTTTACCATAAATCATCCCATATGGTCACATATATTATGATTGATAGTTTCAAACATTAAAAAACAAACAAACAAATTACAAACTGATTTAATCGTTTTATGGATCAAATGTTTTCCATCAGGTAAAACTATCAAAATAACTCTGTATATAGTTGAAGCATCCATCATCGTCATCATCATCATCATCTTCAAAGAAGAAGAAGGAGTAGAAGATAAACAAGAAATACAAAATTTTGTTTTAATTATTCATTGCATCTATTTAGCTTGTAGATTATAATGAAAAAAAAATAAAGTAAACAACTGTCAATCATCAGATTACTAATAACAAATTAAAATGAATATATATATCTATTAAATACAAACCGAAATACTGTTTAAAGTAATACTTACTTACGCCTGTTACCTCCCTATCCCCCGCCCCAATGGAGTATAGGCCGCCGACCAGCATTCTCCAACCCACTCTTTCCTGGGGTTTAAAGTAATAATAATAATCATAATAATAATAATAATAATAATAATAATAATAATAATAATAATAATGATAATAATGGTATTAACCAATAGTAATAATAATCATAATAAAAATAATAATAAATTAATTAAATGAATAATTAAATTATTAAACGGAAACAAATCAGTAACTTCAATGAGAAAAGTTTTTGGAACAAACAAAAATTTACTGGAAAAAAGAAAAGAAAAAAAGAGAGAAAATAAGGTAGGTAAATGATGTAATAGGTAAGACCAAAAAAAGGAAAAAAAAAAAATTAAACGATTGACGGGTTTAGTAATGTTTTTTTATTCTTTTAATCTATTTATATTTCTAACCGATAAGTTAAATTGTTTGAGTGTAGATTAATATATGAAAAGTTTATTTAAGGAATATCAAGGATAAAGTCATTGCGACTTGATCAATAGCATTCGATCAACACTAAGAAGGACTTGACACACATGACATTGATCACCACCCTATAAAGCATCATAATTCTTCCTTCAATATGGAGAGGAAAGGTTAATTAGTTTATCCTGGTGAGGGTAATGATTGCTTAATCCTTAAAGTACTAGCCTGATTTCAACGGTAAACATTTTCATCAATTCAATAGAATTCTAGTTGATGTAAATGCATATCATGAACCCTTAAACAAACTAAATTAGTTTTCGCAGGAACTTTAAAGTAAAATCTAAAGAAAGCTCACATTTCCTGGTACATCAAGTTTCCATAACCCCGATTTACTTGATTGAAAGTAACTGAAAGAAATTTGAACTAAAGTTCAACACAAGTTTTATTACAGTTTATACTATATGGAAACGGAAACACGAAAGATGAGAATTATACAGAAATATTGAATGATTATTCACTCTATATCAATTAAATTAATTAAAAATTACGACTGCGAATTAGTTAATTATCAGTGTGGGTATTTGTAGAAATTGCAGTATCATCACAATTGAATTCATGAGTCGATCTAAGTTAGATTAGCATTAAAAACCTGAAGGAACTAGATGGCCGTTTCGTCCCTGTATGGGACTCCTCCCACTGTTCCACGCGCGGGACTAGAATCCGGGATCTTTGTTCTTACACATACACACTTAGACTAAAGACCACTGAGACGGCATTCGATGGAGTTAATGTTTACCTTGAACCAATCCACGATATTACTTGACCATCTTCAATCGTCTTCGGTGGATAACTATCTCACATACGACAAGGTTGAACTCCACTAATCAAATTCATTTATAATCATTCAATTATTCTACTCTGAAATAAAAGTTCAATTACTTCTAAAGATCATTTGAATACATCTTCATATATTCAAATTGCTTGTCTTTTTCTCACGTTTATTTCAAATGTGTGTTTGTTTCCAAGCTTAATTAATTTCTAACATGACAACAATATCAAATGACAGTTTATTCAGTGTTTGAATGAATTACTTGTTCATAATAAAAAAAAACACAACAACGACAAGTAAACAAAGATAGTTCACCTTGTTACCAAGACTTGGATATAATGATCTGTTTAGAATAAAAATTTTCTCATGAAAAAAAAAACTTTGGAAAGAAAACACACAACTAAACATGATACATTTTACAACTGTTATTGTTTTACTTACATATATTATGTGAAAGAAAAGCTACTCAATCTAATATCATGATAGTGAAACAGCCTGAGATAAAATAAAATCAGTTCGCTACTACATATATATGTGTATATAGCCTCTTCATTGGTAGTCCACAACATACACAATGGAAAAATCAACATCTTCAAATATAACATGGAGAAAGTCAACCCAGTCATACTTGATGGCGAAACTCTAGATGAGGTGGAAACTATCACGTACCTGGTCAGAATCATCGATGAACAAGGAGGATTGGATTCAGATGTAAATGAAAGGATTGACAAATAAGGGCCGCATTCCTACAGTCGAAGAACATATTGAACTCAAAAGGACTGACTCCAAGTGAACATCGAAAACATAATCTTCAATACGTACATCAAGACAGTCCTATTGTACGGAACTGAAACTTTGAGAACTACTACAACTATTCATACTGATTTTGAAGTAATGATTCCTCACAACTTGCTGAAATCTGAGAAACCAGGTAAAGGTGACCAGCTATTCTGATCTGATTTACTACTTCCTGTGATTTCAGTCTAATGATGCTGTATGATGTCAAGTAAGAAACTTTTTTTATGTCTTGCAGGGAGCATAACACAGTTAAGTTAGTAAGTTTAAACCCAGTAGTTTATATTTTGAAAGTCAGTCAGTCTATGATATCATTGAATCTGATTCTATGTCAATAATGAACCACTGTTTCATTTACAATATGACTTTCCCAATAGGTCATGAGTTTTCACTAGAACCTCAGGAAGATTCTTTCAACGCTATACAATAAGTGAGTACACTGTAATTATCAAGTAAGGTGTAAAGATGTTACTTAGAAAGTAATGTTCAACATGAGTTTCAGTTAGTTATAGATAACTAGCTCAAATTCCTAATCAATATTATCAGTAATTATTTATTCATATCTTAATACTTTATCAAAAGAAAAAGGTAAACAATAAATGTAAATGAATAATATTATGAATAAATATACATAGGGTCTATGGAACTTTTTCATCATAAATATATTGATAAGATAATAAGAAATTTTCATATTTATTATTTTAATAGTTGAGTTCATGAGTCAATTGAATCTAAATAACTGTGGAAAGCCTGGAAGCACTAGATAGTTGTCTAGTACTAGTATGGGACTCCTCAGTATTGCACATTCAGGATTTCGCCTCAAAGGATTCGAACCCAGAACCCATACGACGAGGTCGATATATTGGCCTGAGAGACCGATAGGTTCTGGGTTTTAATCTCATGGGGTGAGATCATAGATGAGCACTGCTGAGGAGTCCCATACTACGACTAGACGACCGTCTAGTGATTCGACGTTTTCCATGTTCATTTAGCTTCAATTGACGAGTGAACCCAACTATTAAATACTACAGTATCTGCAAAAGCACTACCTGATAAGATTGATTATTGTTATTTTCAATAATTTTTAAGAAAATGAGAAACCCGTAAGGAAATAGAAGAAAAACTAAGATCAAACTAATGTAGATAAAATTTGAATGAACTGAACAAGTGGTTTTCTTTGTGTGCGTGTGTGTGAACAAATAAGTGGATGAACTTAATTCAATGAGTCTTTTGTAACTGGGTTATATTTTCTTTTGTTGTTATTGTTATAAAAGACTATAACTGATTACTCTCTATTGGTAAACGCGATGTGTTCTCGAGCAATTAGCCTCAGTATTGTCATTGAATTACAAGTTTTTATTAAATTGCATATACATTTGTATATGTTAGTGGGGATTTAGACTCAGTAGCTCGGTAGATAATGCGTAAGGCATTCTAAATGAAAGAGATCGAGGTCGACTATCCATTGTGAATATTAATGCTAAGATGTAAGCAGATCTAGATGAGGAATTACAAGTAGGATGAATGGCCAACTTGGATTTGAATCCCAACCATTATCCGAATTTAATTAATTCAATGTTATTTATAATTGTTCGATCTATTTAGATTGTTGGAAAACAAAATAAATTGCACAACATATATGAAACGACATTTTAATTGTTGTAGCATTCAATAATGTAAATTCAGACACTTAGTTACAACTCTGGCCTTACTTACTTACTTACTTACGCCTGTTACCCCTCGTGGAGGAGCATAGGCCGCTCACCAGTATTCTCCATCCAACCATGTCCTGAGTAATCCTTTCCAGTCCTTTCCAGTTAACATTCATCCTTTTCATATCTGCTTCTATTTCTCGGCGTAGTGTGTTCTTTGGCCTTCCACTTTCCCGCTTCCCTTCCGGATTCCAAGTTAGGAATAGCCTACTTACTTCATTTTAGACATATCTATACCTAGTATTAGATTTTTCAGTCAACTTACTACTGTATATAGCCTCTGACAGGGATGTCCTGCTCACTGCCTTCTTGTGGCCACGGTGTTGTTTAGCAAATTAAGAGGACGAAAAGCAAATGTTCGGCGCTTTAACCGAGTTGGTGGATATGGAAGATCCATCTAGGGAGTTAGAAAACCCTGATTCCAAACCAATGGTGCACATGGGCTCCAGTATCCTGAGGAAAAAATAGCATATGAACCTACTGTTGGTCACTGGCTACCATGGAACTGCATCTCCTAATGCTGCTCCACTGCCTTGTGGGTTAGATATTTAGGTCAAAGGCTCTGGGTGTGGCCCCCTAAGAAAACCACCTGCTTCAGTTTAGGCACCTGTGCAGTATCACAGCTCTCACACAAATCGAAAGAGGTTTGTGTGGCGCATTTTTATCTGGTGCTTCTTTATACCAACATTTATGTGTTTAAATAAAAAATAATAATAAACTGTTTAACTACCAGATAAACAAAACTTGATCTTGTAAGATAAGCAACTAGAATAGTTATTATCAAAAATATGATCCATTTTTTCGAAAAAATAATCTTACAAACAACAGAGTATTTCCTTCATAACATCATCATCATCATCATCATCATCATCATCATCATCATCATCATCATCATCATCATCATCATCATCATCATCATCATCATCATCATCATCATCATCATCATCATCATCATCATCATCATCATCATCATCATCATCATCATCATCATCATCATCATCATCATCATCATCATCATCATCATCATCATCATCATCATCATCATCATCATCATCATCATCATCATCATCATCATCATCATCATCATCAACATCCTGATACATATTTTTACCATTTAGAACAACATCAGTTATAATTCAAGTTAACTTTGATTGAAATCATCTGTATATTTACAGTTTATTTCTTCTTTTTTTTCCACAATTTTACTTATCTATATCTTCATTTTGATCTTGAAAAACATATCTACATAGATGTTCTGCTATATTTCGTTGTTATGGAAATATATGCATATATATTCTTTGCCCCCTCCCTCTCCCTCTTTTTCAGTATCCCTCTTCATTAAAAAATTAGAAAAAAATTTTTGGTAAAGAAGAGAAACTTAAAAAGATGAAGTGAAGATAAAGTGTGTAAATTTATGTGTGTGTATGAGTGTGTGTGTGTGTGTGAAACGTTTAACAAAAAACAACAACAACAACAACATTATAATGAAAAGTTTAACCCAAATTGTTATTTAATCATCATGCAAATGTATCATATGACTATTTGATAGAAAAAAGGCGATGGATTAAAGTTTTGAAGCGTTTTTTCTAGAATCTAAGTTATTTCAGTATTATATTGTTTAGCAATAGATAGATATGTATATTAGGGGGTGGAAGGGTGTGAAAGAAAGCACTTCGTAGGTTACCAACAGTTATGAGCCAAAAAAAGTGTGTAAATACAGCATGAATTAAACTTGATGAATGTCATTTTATGCATAAGAATTTAATTTTAATTATAAAAATAGTCTCTATGATACTTGATATTTCCGTGTTATCAATTGTTCAGAGTGTTAATAGTTACAAATAGATTGATTGGTGAATCTTTTGACATAATAATAATAATAAATATGCAGGTAGATAGATATTGGAAATTTGACAAATAATTTTAATGGTTGATTTGATGAGTTGATGTAAGTTAGGCTATCAGTGAAAACCTGAAAGAACTGTATTACCGTTTCGTCCTAGTGTGGGACCATCAGGGCAACAGTGCACAATCACAAGAACGCAAGCGAGACTGAAACCCAGAACTTTCGTTCGCTCAACCTGTAGATCACTGCACTGACATTCAACGGTGGTAATGTTCTAGGTTCGAATCCCGTGTGCAGAATGTTCGATGCTCATTTTTGAGGCGTCCCCTACTAGGAAGAAACGGTCGTTCATTCCTTTCAGGTTTTCAATGGTGGTCTAAAATTTATTTTAGTTTTATATTATCAGCAGTGCGCATCCATGAGTCCCACAATAGGACAAAACGGTTATCCAGTGCTTTCAGGTTTTCCCTGATGGTCTAGCATCAATTGACTCACGCTTTCAATTATGAAAATACTAAATCTCCACAAAAACCCCTTCTGTTATTCTAATAATAATTATACTATAAAAATGAAACCAGATTTAAGAGAGTATTTAACAAAATAATAATTATACTACTGATAAATGGCAGATGATATGATTAATTCTTATTTTCACCTGTATACATCTTTTCAAAGTAGTATAATGAAATTTTTTTAAATTTTTCAAACATCTTTATAGTTCTGTATACATTACATATGTATTATTATTATTATTATGAGTAGTAGTAGTAGTATTAGTAGTATTATTATTGTTATTATCTTTTGTCTTTGAATGAGGGTTTTAATTGTTAAGTGGTAAAAGTCATTGAATGTTTACAGCTGTCCATCTGTAGATTAAATAAAGAATAATTAAAAAACTTCACATTCTATATGCCAATCTAAATTATTTGTTTAATTATATGTTATTATTATTTAATGGAAATATATTTTCATAAGTATAGACTAACATTTAAACTGAACAAAGTAGTCTTGTAGTGTGGTCTACTTATATCCATATAAGTAGTATATGGTGAGGGTTAGTCATAAAATGTATTTTAGCAAAAGACCTACCAGCACTCGAAGGCTGTTTCGTATTATTGTGGGATCCCTAACGAGTGCGCATACACGAACTCATGTCACGAAATTCAAACCCAGGACCTAACAGTCTCATGCGCGAACGCTTAACTTCTAGACCACTGAGACGGCCGGCATTCACAAAATTGAGTAAAACATCTACCATTATATTCAGTGAGTTACTATCTCACAACAGACTTTTTTGAACTCCACCGGTCTCTACTTCTCACTAGGACTCCAGGAAATACCTCTTCAAATTAGCCACTAGTGAGTGTATGTTCTTTTTTTGGAAGTGAAACTAAGTTTATTTATTTCTAATTTTTCATAATATTGAGGAACAACACTTCTACAAGCCTTCTAATAAATATTAAAAACATTATTATTGAACTTCTTTTATTGAGTACTTTCAAGTAATTTTCTAATGATGAGATTATTATGATTCAAGTAACACAACCTATAAGATGAATGTGATTATTGTTTTAGAATAGAAAAAGATTATTTGATTTTAAAATGGTTTGAATAATTTTTTTATGGTTAGCGTTTTTTTTTAGCGAGTTAGTTTTCTACGGGATGGGGTCGTTAACCCCATGCCCAACCCTCCTCCTTTATCCGGGTTTGGGACCGACAGTAGCTCCTAGAGGAGCTACAGGTGAAGTTAAAAATCATTTGATATATGTGATTAAATAGTATAACAATGGACTGGATTTTACTATCCATAATTTTTAGGTACACTTAAAAGTCGATTTCAATTCCTTTATTGACTTTATGTATAGTGTTTACTTGACGAAACTATTAGTCATTGTGTTCTAGGTTTGTTTGTTGTATTGAAAGTTTATATTTTGGTAACCATTTGAAATACTGGAAATTATCCATTCAAAGTACTTTCATTTATGATGTTTGTGATCATATTTATAATTTCAGTCATGTAAAAAAGAGAATTTATCCTAAGTAATCCTTATTTTTGCAATAAGTTTGTGAAGGTTTTTGTATCATAATGAGAAAAAGTAACCAGAAGAATTCAAAGATATTGAGTTTTAGACAGTTATTCTTTGTTGATATCAGAAAATAATTGTTCAAAAATCAAAATTGATAGGAGATGGAAATATAAATCATTGGAAAATGACTCATGTGTCTGAAGTTCAAGCACAATTTCTATAACCTGAAGGTTTCCGAAGTTTATTGGTGTGTACATCTGGATGGTCCCAAAGTAAAATGGAACCGTCACTTAGTACATTTCGGCTTTCATTGTTTATCTAAATAATATCAGAAGGAGGGTTTTATGGAGATTTTAGTAGATGGTGGAGATTTTAGTAATATTATGGTTAAAATCATGAGTCAATTGAAGTTAGACCACCATGGAAGACCTAGAAGCGCTTGATGACCGTTTCATCCTATTGTGGGACCTCTCGACATTGCGCATTCACGATCCCGCTTCGCGAGATTCTCTAGTTAAATGTCAATTGTCTGTCATGAATCAAGATGATTGTAGATTGCACTGTCATGTTGGATATGAAGGGTATAAGGAAAAACGAAATATTTATTGTTGTTTATTTCAAAGAGTCTTGCATACTTCTTTATATGATGGATGACATTACATAAACTCAGTGAATAGTTATCATTGTATTGATCTACGACACACTAATTTTTAGCCTTATTCGTAAGCTTTATTCTAAAGGCACAATTTCATCACCTCTACATCAACGTAATACGATATCAAGCTTTCACTGGTGCACTAAACCGATATTATTTGACGACTCTCGTGTTAACTTACAAGTTCATTGTTAGTAGAAGATGTAGGAAATTGAATTTTCAATTTTTTAGGTGAAGAATATATAGCAACTATCCTACAACCAATTTCGATTATGGTTAATTTTGGTTGAGCCTTTTTTTATTAACTTACTTAACAGACAATATCATTTGAATAGTAACAATTCTCATATTTCTTTGTACTGTTATAATTACTAAATCACATGACAGACTCTATCTGAAATGTTGATTGCTTAAACATCGATCGACGATTCATCCTCCTCCACAAGTATACAGTACTCAAATCCTATTATTAGCCTTTGCTTTGCCTTCTGTGTCATTATACAATTTGACTATAAATTTGCCGATGTAATCGCTCACATATACTTATTCGCCTCTCTGCTTCAAATTCGTCTTGATGTGCTTATAGATTTGTGGCCTGTGCTATTCAATAATAAACTGTAGTTGCAACTTCTCCTGACCTTCTGATTTCAAACACCTTTGAGGTTTATATTATGACGGTTATCGAGGTGAACGATTAACGAAGCAAAGCAACTACAAATATATAACAAATTGTGAAACATTTAGGTTTTCGTTTCCATCTCATATTTAGTTTGAGATGTATATTGCTGAAGATTCACTAACTAAGAAGAAACACGTATTAAATGGTTGACAATTTTAAATGGCTTTTTAACTTAACATCGGTAAAGAGTGAAAGTTACTTTCACAATGAACAAAAACTTCACTTAATCAAATTAGTAAACTTAAGTTAGTTGAAAATAATGAGCAGAACCGTTGGACGTAATTTTCTGATTGATATTGGTCTATTAGAGTTGATAGGTATAATGTATTTTTAATATCCTAAACATGCATTAAGTTGAACTTTCGACTAAATGTAACTGGTATATCTGGGGTAGTGAAGCAGTCCATAGGATTTAAAGCGGCATTAATATATTTATACACTTTAGGACATCACCATCATTTCCATCATTTTTGTAAGTTTTTGTGAATAATCTATAAATTTGTAGTGCTGTGCTTCGCTAATCGTTCACCTCGATAACCGTTATAATACAAATCTTAACGGTGCATAAAATAAGAAAACAAAGAGAAGCGGCAGCTACAGTTTTATTGACAAATGACGCAAGCCAGAAAGGCATAAGCACATGAGCAAATATCAGTGAACGAAACATAAATGACACGCATTGGAGATGGCGGATAAGCCAACCCGCTTTAACCAAGAGATAATTAATATTTATAGTCGGATAAGAATAAGTTACAGACATGTGATGAATAAGATAAAAAGTGTACACACACCTATGCTCATATAAAAACAGTCAGGGTTATTAAGTGAATAATTAACAAGATGAAAACTTGACTCAAGATGGATAGGTAAATCAGCTTGTCCAGAAGTTAGAATAA